TTGGACTTAACCTAATTTAAATATAATTCATGTAAAATTAAGGGTATTGTTGACTTTAAATTTAAAAAATTAATTTTAGCTTTTAAAATACAACTAAAATAAGGTTTTTCAAAATGAATAAGGTGTTAAGCTTGCCCCACATGCTGATGCTAAGACTGAATTAAATGAAAGTAGAAAACGGGAAAATTAGAATAACTGTCTTACCTGTTTAAATAATGAGAACATTTCCCATTACAACAGATTGTTGAGATGGCCGAGTTGGTCTAAGGCGCCAGATTAAGGTTCTGGTCCGAAAGGGCGTGGGTTCAAATCCCACTCTCAACAGCAAACCTTTTTCTTTTTTTTATTATTATTTAAATTATTTAATTTTTTTATTTCTTGTCGTTCTTCTTTATCTCAATGTAATTAACTGGGTTCACTCAAGAAGATAATGTTTATTTAATTGTGGACCAAGTTTTGTTCAACCTAACACATTGATTTGATGTCTGTTGAACCCAGTCCAAGTCATCAAACTGAAAAATTGTTTAGAAACAGCGTTGTGGCAAAACCCATCGTGCCTAAATGGCTAAATCCATCCATCTTCTGAAAGACTGAAACCATGTATTTAGGGGAATAGCATCTTTTCTTTTTTGACTTGACAGCACAATGATATCTCATCGATGCATAATGACTTAGGTGAAATATAATAATGCATTATACATTTAAGATTTATTATATTTTAATGCTATTACGTTTATTTTGCACATCCAATTATTATATCCTTTTATTTGAAAAAACTGTTGTTTATACTATGATCACACTACTTTCTTGGAAGTGGGAGATTATTAGAACGTTGCCTGATTGGCTTCTTGAAGAGACTCATCGTGGAACATTTTTCATGTCTTTTACTCAGAAGACTTTAAATCATTTTGTGCTTTTTCACCCAGAGTAATTCTGCTAATACACCTACTAAAAAAAATTGTGTTGATACAACAATCAAAACGATATATTTAAGTTTTATTATGTTATCACCAAAAAATAGTTTCATTATATATATACAGGCACGGATCTACATTGATTAGAGTGGGGGCACTTGTCCCTACTATAATTTTATACATATATTTTTTATTAATTTATACATATATAATTTTTATTAAAGATAAAATATAAATTTAGACAAAGTGTTTATTTATCTGATATTTGTCAAATTTTTGAAGAAAATTAGTTTTTATATGTGATAAGGAATTTTTAAAAAAATTTAATTATAATATATATACATATATAACGTAATATATTAAAAAATCAATAAAATAAATTTTGTAGCATGTATGTTTACCTTTTATGCTTTCAATTTATTGTATATGTTGATTAAAAAGATCAAAATAGTAAAGATAATGAGATTGTATATGTTGATTAAAAAAATCAAAATAGAAAAGATTAGAAAATTTATGTTCTATTTAGAATTTTTATTATAAAATATGTTTTAAAATAAATTATCATCTAAAAACTTTATCATATATTAAAAACATGTTTATATCATAAATAAGTCAAACTTGATTTTTATAAGATTTAACATATTTATCTTTATATTTTTAATAGTGTTAAATTATTATAAAGTAGGTTTTTATGATTGTAGTTCTAACCAAACATTTAAAAAATATCTACGATAAATAAATAAGCCATATTTAGGACATGTATTTTTAAAGAAAGTTAAGTTCAAACCTATTAAATTATAATATAACCTAGTTTAACCTATTCTTTTTTTTATCCTTAATCGTAATCATAGATATAAAAACTTGTAAAAAAATAATTATGATATATTTATACTTTTAAAAGTTATATGTAAAAATTTTAACATTACAAATATATGAATAAATTTTACCCCCACTATCTAAAATTTCTGGATCCGTCACTCTATATATATATATATATATTATTTTAGAAACAATTTTATTCGATATACAATCATATATTAAATGTGAACATCTCTTTCAACATTCACTCAAGCCCCTTTGATAGGTTGCATTCTGTTTTAATACAATTACATTTCATGTACTTCCATTTAATCTCTCTTTTATTTGGGCAAAACTGTTTTTTTTTAACTTCATAAAAAAAATTATTTTCATTACCATTTTTTTAAGTATAGTAAAATATTACAACGTAGTATGATTAGCAATCTCACAATTTCAGGAGTCCCATCGTGGATAGGGATGACAATGAGGCCTCATGGGAGTGAGTAATAGTAAATTTGCCCTCGCGCCCGCTGGATAAAAATTGACCCCATACTCACCCCATATCCGTGCGGGTATCCATTAAGCGAGTATCCAAGAATTTATTGAATACCCACGGATATCAATGGATATTTATAAATTTTTTAAGAAATTAAAAAAAATTATATTACAAATAATTTTAAGTTTATATTTAATGTTATTGAAATATTAAAAATAAAAATTCAATGTTAATTTTGAACTTGTATTTAACGTTAATTTTGTTGAAATAATAATAAAAATGAAAGATAATCAATAACTTAAAATACATCAATCTCACAAATAAGTTAAAGTCTCATCACAAAGTTATAGTAATTCAATCTGATAATTCCAAACGAAAGTAAACAACTTAAAATACATAAATTTTATTGGTCAAATCAAAGTTAAAAAATTAATCAAATTACATCTAAAATAATTCTATAACATGCTTAACACATGTTGGTAACTTCATCAACCTCACTTTTGTAAGAAAACAAGATGAGAGAGTGTAATTTTAGGGTTATGTGGTACAAGCATAGTTTTAAAAACCGGACCGGTCATCGAACTAGTTAGGGTAATGAATTAGTGGGTCAAAGGTTGAACCGGTGAGTCACTAATTGAACAACATGACTCAATTTTTATTAATTTTTTAAAAAAAATATTCATGTTAAATATATTTTATATTATGAATTTTAATAAATTCATATCCTATTTTAAATTTCAATTTTCTTCTTATTTAAAATTATCTTTATTTTTATTTTGTATAAAGAAATACATAATAAAAAAGTTACATGATAAACTGTATATTAATACAAATTAAAAATATAAATAATATGTACATATATAATATGCTTGCAATTGATATCACAAAATAAAATATGTAATATCTACATAGATATTATATTATTAAATATATAATTTAAAATTAATAATATGCTATAAAATTTATTTAAGTTGCATATATTACAAATAAATACATTAGAACAAGTAGTCATTGTTATGTTTAATAAGACTCTTTGTTCTACCATTAAAAATTCAATTCTCATTATTATTTTTGTGGTTTGTGGTCCCTTAAAAAAAATTTGTAGTTGAATCGGTTTGACCCACCGGTTCATTGATCGGACCGAAAAATTGACCAGTTCAATCCGGTTTGAAACAAGTCAAATGATAACCGATCCAACTTAAAGTTCAAACCGGCTGGACCACCAGTTCCCGATTCAACCGGTCCGACTAGCTGGTTCGATATGATTTTTAAAACACTGGGTACAAGGATAATTAGGATATTTAAGAAATATTATTAAACGAGTACACGCGGGTATGAATATCATCAAACTCGCCCCTTCCCCATTTATAAACGGGTAAAAAATTATTCGTCCCCGTTATCCGTGGGTATCCAATTAGCCTATTCATTTATTATCAATAGCGAATTTTATTTGCGAGTGCGTGTATTTTTGTCATCCCTAATCGTGATACATTTTCCTCGATTTTTATAGTTGAATTAGTTTATTTCCTTGTAAAAATAGTAGTTATTAATATTTTGCTCGATGACACACGTTTTTGTGAACAAAAAAGCCGACAAATACCATGACAAGGAAAAGAGAAAACCACCTTTAGGGTGTGTTTGGATGAGGAATTTATATAGGGTAATTCATTTATTTGAAGAATTTCAAATTTCTTGAGGTGAAATGCTTTGTTTGGATGAGGAATTTACAAAGAATTTGAAATCCAAGCATTTGTGAAATTCTTTAAAATAGTAGAATTTCAAATTCTCCCATAAATGGGAGAATTTGAAATTCCTCATATTTATTTTTCTTATTTCACCTATATATTTTATCTTATCTCTTCATTCTTTTAATTATTGGATATTCAAAAATATTTTTAAAATTGTTAAACATTATCTAATATTAATTTTTAAAATTATTAAATATTATCTAATATTAATTTTTAAAATTATTAAATATTTAAAAATGGATTAATATTTATTTTTATAAAATTTAATTTAAAAATATTAACATATAAATATATTTTTAAAATCAATTTTTATTATGATGGAATAAAATTATCATATTCAACCTAACAATTTAAAATTTAAGAAATTTGAATTGACTCATCCAAACAAAATATTTCAAGAATGATAGAAATTAAAATCAAAATAATTCAAATGCCAAGAATTTAAAATTTCTTGAATTTGTAAAATTTCTCATCCAAACACACTGTTAGTCTATGGGTGCTTGGTTCAAAAGAAGGGAGCGAAGAAAAAATGAAAAAAAAGGGTAAGAGAAAAAAAACGAGGGCAAATGAAAGAAAAGTTTCCCGTATTTATTTTGGTGAAAGAAGAGAGATAGAAGGAAGGTTCCTTTATTTGATTAGCAAAGAAAAGAAAGTAAAAATAATATTAATATACTGCTATTAGATAAGCAAAGCAAAGAAAGTAATGTGTTTTTAAATCTTTGGTAGAAAGAAACTACCCATAAAAGGGGTTCTAACTTTTAACTTCTGCCAACTGAGATGCCCTAATAAATCTTATGCTATTTCTCTCCAGCTGTCCACTACTCAAGTTTCAATCCAATCTATCAAAAGGGAAGACGAAAATAACAAACTCTTAACAACAATAGGACAGGTAGTAGGTCCCCAAGAACCTAGAAATCTGCTGCCAGAAGAAACAAGAATACAGTATCTATTGGTAAACAATGAATTTCATCCATAGCAATTTGAACACTTGCGTTTAAATAGCTACCGACAAACAAGCCCACATAATGAAAAATGACCAAATTCTTAATGAAAAAGACTTTAATAGGAGAAAATATTCTCACTCAGTTATGTATAAGTATAGTCCAAAAAATGACCATATTATTGTTACAACCTCTTTAAAGTAGAAAATATAAATCACTCAACTTCTTAATCCTACAACTAATGTCACATCAAAACATGAAAGCAAGGAGTAATCCTTTATCCCAATTGGAAGAGCCCTCTCAACAATTAATTGAATAAAAGAGAGAGCAATGTTGCTATGCTAGTAATGGACTTCAATAGGCAACGTTGGAGGCTACTTCGGACATGCATGCTCTCTTTGATTAAATAATGCATTGTTCGTGATCACACTCCGCAAATTTGTACCTATTTGATCAAATACCATAATTTCGTCACTGCAAAATAATGTCTCTGTATCAAACTCTGTTTCAGCAACATATCACATTATAACTTGAAATAAGCCAAGCTTAGAATCAAGGAAACTCAATAATCATGTAAAGTTTAAGCACCATAAAACATTGAAATCAACACCATATAATGTTTTGTTCAAGAACACAAATAGAAAAAAGGATATCAAAATGGAATATTCAAATGAACCTGAAAGTAACATTTTCAACAATGGTGGATTCATCACCAGAGTGTCCAGCAGAATGCAGAACATGCTCTCCAATTGAACACTCCATACATTTCCTGATGTTCAGAACAATGTGAATTGTCTTCCTTCAAGTACCTAACATCACAAGTGAGCAGTGACCAATATTATCTCGACAAAAACAATTGAAGCCGCTTCTAAATGTTAAATGGTGCTAAGAAAGAAACAAAAACCTACGAAATCCAACAATAAAACATGTCACAATTTCAAACGACGAACAACCCTTCCGCACTTGCTCTGCTTTCTAAGTATCTCCTTTGCGAACTCCTGATTTCCTGTAAGAACAAGTCCATTCAAAACCCTATTAAAAGTAAACTTCCTAGGCAAGAACCCTCTATCAATCATCTCCATCAATAACTTCCCAGCCACCACCAAATCCTCCGACTTCTTCTTCACAAACATTGCACAAATCAAAACATTGTACGAATCCAAATTAGGCAAACACTCGCCACCCCCCATTTTCCCAAACACCTCCAAACCCTTCTCAATCTCCCCAGCATCACAAAAGTATCGAATTAGAACATTATAAGTCTGAACACTAGCCCTCAAACCATGCTCCTCCATCCTCCCCATAAACCCCAACGCCCTCTCCATGTCCCCAACATGACACAAACCTATGATCACAATGTTGTAAGTTGTCACATTAGGCACACACAACCCCTCCCTCACCATCTCCTCAAAAACCACCATTGCACTCTCCACACTCTCCTTCTTACACAAAACCTGAATCAAAGCATTGTAAGTAGCAACCGAAGGAGCCACACCTTCCTTCACCATCTCATCAAAAACCCTACGAGATTTCTTAACCTCACCCGCAACACCAAACCGTGAATCATAGTGGTGTAAGTCACAACATCAATCTCGCATTTCCTCTTCTTCATCTCCAAGTAAAACTCCCAAGCCTCTTTCAATTGTTTATTCCTGAAATAGCCTTTCAGCATTGTGTTATACGTGACCATGGTAGGGCTAATCCCTCGCTCCACCATCTCCTTCAAAACTTGCAGCGCCATCGGCGTGCGCTTAACGATGCAGTAACCGTTGGCGATTATGTTGTAACTAACGCTATCGGCATTGAATTTGTTTCTTAGGGTTTTGAAGAGGTCGTGCACCATTTCAACGCGCTTGGACTTGCAGAGGATGTCGAGGATGGTGTTGAAGGAGTGAAGATCCAGGCGGCAACCGTAGTCTTGCATGGAGAGGAAAAGATTCACGGCGCGGTGGGGCTTTCCAGCGGAGACGTAGTGCTCAGCGAGAATGGCAAAGGTGCGAGGAGTTGGGCCATGACGGAGGGAGCGCATGCGGGACAGGAGGGCCCATGCGGAGTTATAGTCGCGCATGCGGGCCGCGATGTCGATGGCGAGGTCGAAGGCCGAGGAAGAGTGGGTGTAGGAGGGGTGGCGGCCCAGGTGCTTGAAGAATTGGAGAGCCTTGGGCCCGTGGTTCCAGAGGCGCTTCAGGACCTTGTCCACGAGCTCTGGGGTCCATTGGATGGTGGGCCTGTATAGGGCCTTGGGGAGAGTGCCTGGGTTGGATTCGAGGACTAGTTTGGCTATTGCGGCGGCGTCTTCCGTTTGGGCTCCGTCGGCGAGGGTAAACGCTGAACGTGGAAGCTGCGAAAAGTGATGCTTCGTTGCTAGAGGGAGAAGGTGGAGATGAGAACCCTTGGGGAACATTGATTTTTAGGAGCTTTTTCAGATTTTCACTGCTCCCTCACTCCTTAAACCTTTTTGAGGTAAGATCCTAAATTAAGCCCAACTATACCTCGATGTCACATTCTATCAGAGCATGCCCAATTGACGCCTTAAGCCTCATCAACATTCTCATGATGATGATCACCTGTAACATAATTTAAACATATACAAAAACAACAAGGGGGTGAGAAATATGTCACTCAGTTCCAGGTGCAGAAATAAAAGTTAGATAGCACACACACACAACAAACATAAGTCACATGTAAGCAATACACATACACAATCAATATCACATGCACACTCATTTATCATGCAATGATGTCATAAATTTGACTCATAAATGCATGCATGTGGCGCCATACAAAAGTTTCACATTTCTCATCATTTCATCACGTAGTTTGTTACATCACTGGTGATCCTAAGGTACACCTTGTTAGCTTGATACATCACTGTTGATCCTAAGGTATACCTTGTTAGCTTTTTATATCACTAGTGACCTAAGGTACACCTAAAATATCTCAGTACATCACTAGTATGCGGCTTAAGCAGCACACTTGGAATAAGTCATTTCATCACATAATTTGTTATATCAGTAGTGAAGGTACACTTGGAATACATCATTTCATCACTGGTATGCAGCCTAAGCAGCACACCTGGAGTTATATATGTATATGATGCATGTCATATATTCACTATTTCATTAACTCAACATTTCACTATCACGAAATTTAATTTATTATCTCATGTCATCATTTTTCATATTCTCATAGTCAGAGCTTATCTTAATAACTCATTCTTATGTCTCATATCATTTGTTCATATTTCACATAATCACGTTATAATTATTCCTCATAAAGTTCGCATAGGAATCCATAGAACACTCTTAATCATATTAAAACTTATTTATTATCAAAATTAATCACATATTTATTCATCATCTCCAACAAAGAACAAATCAGACTAATCAGAAAGTAAAACAAAACATATTCATGTTCCTAGAAACATATATCAGACAAGGCATTGGGGTCAATCCGACTACCCAACAATTATTCTCAAACCCTCGAGTGAGGTTTCTCACTCCCCCCTTACCTCGATAAACAGGAGCTGAAACTGGAGCAGAACCTTGTTAATCTCCTTCTCGGGATTCCCTCTTTCTTTCTCTTTCTCTTTCTCTCTCTAAATTTTCACCTTAAGTCAGCTATAATTTTTTCCATAGCTCCTCTCTCCTATTTATAGGCTTTCAGGGGTGGCCGGAACGGCCCGTTCTCAAACCAGAACGAGCCGTTCTGGATCCATCGATTATATGTAAAAGTTACAAATAGAACGGCCCGTTCTCACCACCAGAACGACCCGTTTTAAAAATCAGAACGGCCCGTTCTCAAAATAAGAACGGCCCGTTCTCAAAATAAGAACGGCCGTTCTGGGGTTGAATTTAAGACACATTGACCGTAATTAGAATGGGCGGTTTCTAAATTGTATTTTAGCCCATTTTCTTTCTCTGGAACGTCCCGTTCCACTTGATGGAACGCCCCGTTCTGATTATGGGAACGACCCGTTCTGCTTATGGGAACGGCCCGTTCCGCTGTTTGGAACGGCCATTCTGGGCCTAAGATCCAGAATTTCATATAAAAAAATTAATTTCTCATAATTATTTAAATTATTAAAAAATCTCTAAAATGTTCGATAAAACCCCTTTAATTAATAAACATAACCGTAAGAAGATAACTTCCATAAATATAAAAATAATAATAATTAACTATCGTATTATTAAAAAATTTGAGATGTTACAATACTTTGCATAATTGAAGTATTGGTCTAATGATATTGACATAAATTCTAATCCTTATAAGAAAATAGATTAAGAACTTAATCAGACTTAACAAAACTAATTTTTAAGATAAAAATTATTTTTCATTCATATATATATATATATATATATAAAGTTCAATTTTTGTTATTTTTTAAAAAACATCAATTGTAGTTTTTTTTATAAATATATATAAATGATTCATTTGTTATAAGAATAAATTTATATAGACTATGATATAAATTTTCATTAATTTTTTTTTTTAAGTTATGTTGAAAGTTTTTCTATTAAGTCACATGACAAGCCAACTCTAAATTAAATATAATCATGTGTTATGTTTGTTGGTATTAATTTAGTTAAAATTAAAGTATAAAATCTTAGTAAAGAATATCTCATCCAAGTAAATGTTCTCAAATACAAGTTAAAATGTAAGTATAAAATCTTAGTAGAAAATACTTTGTCTGAGTAAGTGCTCTTAGATGAAAGTTAAAACTCAAGTATAAAACCTTGATAAGGAAGTTTCCATATGAGAGAAATTAACATGCTCTTAACCCAAAAAATTATCTCAGATGGATTTTCCAAGTAAAAAATATTGGCTAACAAGTTCTTATGTGAGAAGCCAACATGTTCTCACTAGTGTAAAAACTTTTGTATCGATTTTTCTAGGTATAAAATCTTAATCAACAAGTTTTCGTTCGAGAATTCAACATGTTCTCATCCAAGTAAAAAACTCATGGAGTTATCCAAGTATAAGATTTTGACCAACAAATTCTTATTGAGAAGTCAACATGTTCTCACTTGAGTAAAAACTCTAGATGAATTTTTCCAAGTATAAATTTTTGGTTGATAATTTCTCATTCAAGAAGCAGACATGTAGTTCTCATACAAGTAAGTGTTATTGTATAAAATTTTGGTCAACAAGTTTTCATATGAGAAGCTGACATGTTCTCATCTAAGTAAAAACCCTCTGATGGATTTTTTCAAAGTATAAAATTTTAGCTGACAAATTCTTATTTGAGAAACCAACATGTTCACATCCAAGTAAATACTCTCGAATGAATTTTTCGAAGTATAAAATATTGACTAATAAGTTCTCATCCAATAAGTCAACGTGTTCTCACTAGTGCAAAAACTCTCACATGGATTTTTTCAAGTATAAAATATTAATAGAGAAGCTCTCATCTGAGATGCCAACATGTTTTCATCCTAGTAAATATTCTCGGATGAAAGTTTTCAAATATAAAATCCAATTGTAAAATCTTAGTCGAATTGGCTGAATAAAATTTTTAGTCAATAAATTTTAGTTAATTATTTTTTACAATTCACTTCAATAAAAAAATTTCTGTCAAACAAAAATGTGTCTACTACTTGTACAAACAAAGATGAATTTTCATTTATGACATAATAAATAAACAAAAACTACATGTTTTGGTTAAAATGTTTATGAATGCACTTTAAACAATCAAACCTCTTCTTCCATATACTCAAGACTTGGGGGCTTATATATTGAATATGGTCAAATAATAAATAGAATATGAAGTAACATCTTATATAATTAATAATAACAATAATAATAATTGATAAACATTTTTATTATAACTCCTAATGATGTGTAACATATTTTCATAAGATACATATATTACACCTTTATAATACTTGTATGTAACATTATTATCTTTTTGGCAAGAGCATCAAAGTGTCATTATAAATATCCCAACCCACCTAAAGGATCTCTAGAAGAAGAGAAAAAAAGAAAGTTATCAACTTTTAACAAAAGTTTAAAAGAGATTCAATTTTTGACAACTACATTTTTTTAATATTTTATCATATTATATACTATGCTAGACACTAAATAGTCTTAATATAATAAATTATATATCAAATATTAATTAGGGAAATTAAGATGTAATTTCATATTAGATAGGTGTATTATTTGACATACTATCTCTTTTTAAGTGTTTTTTTTTAATATTTTTTTAACATAATAATAGTCTTGAGTTTATTTCATTAGTTCAAGAGGGTGACAAAGTGAGAGTTAAATTTATTAATTTTAATTTGCCTAGCATTTTTTAAAAAGGTGATTCTCAACTCACTTCTAACAATCAATCCATTCGATCATATTTAAGGAACTTAAAATTGGATTAGACATATTAAGCCCACTTTAACACCCTTAAACACCAATTTATTTGGCTGGGCTTTCTGAACCAAATAAGTTGATACAGTCCAACAAACAACTTAAAACCCCATAATAGAAGTTAATTAATATCATAGACCTAAAAATCAATTCATATTCATGTCGGATCAAATCACATAAATTAAAGAAATTGTATGCAAGTTGAGCATAAGCTGTCCATTTGAATAGATCAACTCATTTTCAGCAATGCACTCCACAAATGTTTGAACATAATAATCCAAAAATCATTTTTCCCTAGCTTTAAAAACAATGCTTAAAATGAAAAGTCGTTATCTCAAGTGATTATACATTTACTTTTTAACTAATAACCAGGGATCAATCGTTACTTTAAGCATGGAGTCAAAATAAGTTATATTTTTTTATAAAATAAAATAATAAAATTGTGTTTGAATACAAATAATTACATAAGCATGAGGGAAGCCACAGAAAAGATAAGAACAACTAAATGGGAAAGAGGCAGTGGAGAATTTCTGGATACGTAAGATAGAGGCAATGGAAGAAACATGAGTAAATATGAACCACAAATGATATAATTAAAATTAATTAACACTAAACACAGCAATAACAAAGAACATCATCACCTACCACTTCCCCTTTCATCGTCTCTTCCTCACCAAACCCTCATTCTCAAATCTCAACCTACCATGCCGCCAAGAAATTACAATATGTCTCATAATTTCACTCTTAATCACCCTTCATCAATTATTATTTTATTGTAATAATTGATGACTCCCTTCAAAGAATTATTGCCAAATCATCTACGTTTAATCATTAATTCTATACACAATTAATTATGACCGTTTGGTTTGAACCATCGTAATAACATGTTATGATCCAAAACTGTTGTTTTATGCAAATGCATATTAAGTTTATGCCAAACAAAAATCATGACAGTTATATGTTTGTAATAAAAATCGTCACAAACAGATGTTAAAACTTTTGGATCTTACGCATTTTTTATTACTTGTCTAAAGGTTTAGTATTGATAAATTGTCGGATTAAAA